TTTTTTTTTTTTTTTTTTGTTCTTTTGGTGCCAAATACTCCTTTTGGAAGCCATGTTCTCATATTCTTCTTTATAAGAAAAGTTCAATTATCTATAATAGTGTCAAGCTAAAGTTTGCAGCTTTTGTTTTTCAAAATCTTGATCCTAACTTCTCTTTTTTTTCATTTGCAGCCTATTGAGGGGATTTAATTTAACGGGACCGTTGCCTGAGGAGTTTGTAAACCTTACTCATCTAGTTGAGATGTAAGTTTTCACAATAGTATTTCTTCCCATGTTTTGAAAGAATCAAAAATGGAGATCGGATTTTGGGGAGAAAACTTTCTCCTATTGTGTCATTTTTAATATATCCGTACAACCATGCAAAAAACAGATATTTATACTCATGCAATACGTCACACACCAAAACGACGTCGCACGGTATTAGTGTTGAAATATGAAAAAGAAACGCAACAGCAACTAAAACACGCTTAACACTAAACTAAAACAGAGAATAAAAGAAAGGAAAAAACATTGAACTAAAACATGCAGAATCTATATATCAACAGCCCCCCCTCAAGTTGGACGTGGGTGAACCATGCCCAACTTGAACAGCAACTCTCGAAACTGCTTGCCTGGTAAGATCTTCGTAAACAAATCAGCCAACTGAGCTCGAGAAGAGATGAACTGCGGTGCAACAAAACCGTCCTTGTATTTATCACGTACATAGTGACAATCGATCTCTAAATGTTTTGTGCGCTCGTGAAACACGGGATTGGCCGAAATATGAAGAGCCGCCTTATTATCACACCAGAGAAGGATAGGGTAAGGCACTTCAATACATAAGCTATGCAAGATGAAGGTGATCCATTGTAGTTCTGAAACCACCGAGCTCATGGCTCTGTATTCTGCTTCAGCCGTGGATTTGGCAACAGTTTGTTGCTTCTTGCTCTTCCAAGAAATAAGAGACCCCCCCCAGCTGTACATAGTAACCAGTAACTGACCTTCTGGTGTCTTTGCACGATGCCCAGTCAGCATCACAATAGGCAGTGAGGGAAAAAGAACCATTCTGAGGATAATGAAGCCCATAATCAGCTGTGCCCTTTAAATACTTCATGATGTGCATGGCAACATCCCAATGGGAGGAGTGGGGTGCAGTAACAAATTGAGATAATTGTTGGACAACATAAGTAATATCTGGTCGAGTTAAATTGAGATATAGCAATCTGCCCACAACCCTTCTAAACTGTTCTGGGTTACACAATGGTGTGCCATCTTCTGCCTGTAGCTTAATCCCATGAGGTAAAGGAGTAGCCATTGTGTGACACTCCAGCATATTCAAATCACCTAGCATATCCAAGATGTACTTCCTTTGAGAGAGAGTTGTCCCAGTTTGAGTTTTCTGAATTTCTACTCCCAAGAAATATCTGGCTTTGCCAAGATCCTTAATGGTATATTCCTTATCTAGAAAGAGTTTCAGTTGCTCAAGAAGATCATCATCATTACTGGTCAAGAGAACATCATCCACATATACTAAGATGGCCATGAACTGGTTACCTTTCTTGAGAGTGAAAAGACAATGATCATGGGGTGATTGCATCATACCAAATGAGGACAGCTTAGTGCTTAACTCCTTGTTCCACTCCCTTGATGCCTGTTTTAGCCCTTAGAGGCTCTTCTGTAGCTTACATACTTGGCCATGCTTTGCTTTAGTATATCCCTGTGGTGGTGTCATGTAGACTTCCTCTGTCAAATGCCCATGCAAGAAGGCATTATTGACATCAATTTGATGCAGTCCCCATCCTTGCATAGTAGCTATAGCAATAAAGATTCTGACAGTTACTAACTTTGCCACTGGACTGAAGATGTCAAAGAAATCAATCCCTTCCACTTGGTTGTATCCTTTAGCTACCAACCGTGCCTTAAACCTCTCTACACTCCCATCTGGTTTTCTTTTAATCTTAAAGACCCATTTTGAACCAATGGCCTTCTTTCCTGCTGGTAGAGTAGTTAACACCCAGGTTTGATTTTGTTCTAAGGCATCAAGTTCAGCTTTCATGGCACTTACCCAGGCTGGATGTCTACTAGCTTGACTGTAGTGTATTGGTTCTTTCTCAACACTTATATTCCCCATGAACATGACTAGATCAGTATCTTCATCATTTTCTTGAGTGGCTGGGTTCTCACATATATAATATGCATGCCAACTTGGTGGCTTTCTGTTTCTGAGACTTCTTCTCAGTCCCTGATCATGTGGCTCCAAAGGTGTAGGCTTTGTTAATGAATTGATCTCCTCAGCATTGTCATCCTCAAGTGGAGGACATGGCCATAAATTCTCATTTTGTGGCAGGAGAACTTCTCCTTTTGATGAACATTTACTGAAAGGAAATATTTCTTCCACAAAAATTACATCTCTAGCAATGAAGACCTCCTTTTCTTCAATATCATATAGATTATATCCTTTCTTTCCTGCAATATAACCAAGGAATATGCACTTTCTGCCTCTAGAATCCAGCTTTGACTTGTTAGGTCTTGTGTTAGCTGCATAGGCCAAACAGCCAAATATTTTCATTCTCTTGTAATCTGGCTCCTCTTTGCACAGTCTCTTATAAGGTGTCTCCCACCCCAGCACTGCAGTGGGAATTCTATTGATGATGTAAGCAGCTGCCTGTACTGCAAATGGCCAAAAATCTAAAGGCAGGTTAGCTTGATATAACAAGGCTCTCCCTACTTCCAACAAGTGTCTATGTTTCCTCTCCACAACTCCATTTTGCTGTGGAGAGTAAACACAAGTAGTTTCATGCAATATTCCCTTCATCCTGTAAAACTCATGTAGTTCTTTCTCAAGAAACTCCTTCCCATTGTCTGTTCTAATCCTCTTGACTGTATTTCCAAATTGAGTCTCAGCCATATTAATGAATCCAATGACCAACTTCCCTACTTGGGACTTATGCATCATCATGAAAACCCAAGTGCCCCTGCTGTAATCATCAACCACAGTCAGAAAATAAGGTGTTTTGGTGAGAGCCTCTTCTCTGCAAGGTCCCTATATGTCCATATGGAGGAGTTCAAGGCTGGTCTTTGTGTGTATGTCACTCACTGGAAAGGGCAGTCTGTGTTGCTTGGCTTTAAAACAAACATCACAAGTATGCAATGACCTCTCAGTCCTCTTATCACATTTATCCTTTAGGAACTTCAAGTGTTTCATGGCATTGAAGGAGGCATGGCCCAGGCATTTGTGCCAGGTTTCCACTGACATATTGCATTCAATCACCTTCTCATTTCCTTGAGTTTTCCTGTCATAGATATATAGACTTCCCTTTAACTTTCCAGTTCCCACAACTTCTCCTGTCACTTCCTTTTGTAGATTACAATTGGAGCCTGAAAAGGAAAACTGCATATGCTCTCTCTCACATAGTTGTCTGACTGACATTAGATTATATTTAAAGGATGGCAATAGGAGTACATCATGGAGTGTTATGTTATCATCAAGTACCACATCACCCTTACACTGCACTTCTTTCATGCTCCCATCTGGGAGACATACTGTGATGCCACTGTTTACTGCTCTCAAGTTTCTCATTTGGTTTTGGTCCTTACAAATATGCCTGCTTGCTCATGTGTCAATTATCCATTCCTTCTCATGGTCAGCATCCAATATGGACAATGCATAGTGAACATTATTCCCTTCATCTCCTGTAAAACTTACAAACTGAGCATAATCAACCTTGCTTGAGGATTTTTCTTTATCCTTGATATACCTTGTCAATTCATTTAACTGTTGTATCACTGAATGCAGATCATTTCCATTTCCAACATCCTTTCTTTCTTCTGCTGTCCTTGGTTTCTCATCATTTTGGTAGGCAGCAGCATTGTTCACATAAGTTTTCCCTTGTTGTTCTCTGTACTCCTTATACCACTCAGGGACCCCATGCACCTTAAAGCAAGTAGCTATAGTATGGCCATGCATACCACATTTATCACATAGAAGTTTTGCCTTTTCCTCTCTAGTCATTCTATAGCCTCTGCCTCTTCCTCCTGTCAATCCTTGTCCCATGTAGCCACCTCTTCCTCCTCTATTATTATTCCCAGCACTTCTCCCATATCCATCAACCTTAGCAATCATAGCAGAATTATCAATTCTTTCCCCATATTCCATTTGTACATTCCTTTGTCTTTCAGCTGAGAGCACCATAGAGTAAGCTCTATTTATTGTAGGTAGAGGATCAATGAGCATGATTTGACTCTTAAGATTATCATAACTATCATTAAGTCCCATCAAAAACTGTATTAGCTTTGTTTCAGAGTCCTGCTGCACCACAAATTTCCTCTTTTCACAATTGCAAAGCTGAAGAGGAGCTACACAACTGTATTCATCCCAAAGTTTTTTCAACTTATTAAAATACTCCATGACAGACTTATTTCCTTGGCAGTGGTTAGAGATTTCCCTTTGTATTTTATATTTCAAAGGTCCATTATTTTCACCAAACCGTTGACAAATATCTTCCCATAATTCCTTTGAAGTATCCGCATAAACAAAGGATTCAGCTATGTCCTTTGACAATGAGTTCAAAATCCAGGACAACACTGTCCAATCGACCTTTTTCCAAACAGCATATCCTTCACTATTTTCATCCGGTTTTTCAATTTCACCATTAATGAATCCTAGCTTAGTTTTAGCTCCCAAAGCTATCATAATCGACCTTTTCCAGGAGAGAAAATTGTTACCAGAAAGCGGATGAGAAATTAACAGCAGTCCAGGATGATCGGAGGTGCTAAGTGCAAAAGGATCATGCATCGCGTCGACTGTTGATTTCTGCGCCATTGACGGAAGCGAGTTGAATCGGAGTTTGTGAGCTAGAGATCAGCTTCGATCTATGCCGATTAGCCAGAAATTTGCTTCAAAAATTGGATCGCCCAAGCTCGTCTGCTCTGGATACCATGAAAGAATCAAAAATGGAGATCGGATTTTGGGGAGAAAACTTTCTCCTATTGTGTCATTTTTCATATATCCGTACAACCATGCAAAAAACAGATATTTATACTCATGCAATACGTCACACACCAAAACGACGTCGCACGGTATTAGTGTTGAAATATGAAAAAGAAACGCAACAGCAACTAAAACACGCTTAACACTAAACTAAAACAGAGAATAAAAGAAAGGAAAAAACATTGAACTAAAACATGCAGAATCTATATATCAACATGTTTCAAATACTCAACCATCTTCGCATTTTTTAAAAGTTCTTTTAGTGAACTGTCACTCGAAGAAAAATCTATACATTTTTGTCTTAGTGTTTTTTTCTTTTAAGAAAAGGTAATTTTTTCTTTTAAGAAAAGGTAATTTCGGTGATGTTGAGAAATAGTTACAAAATTGTTCCTCCACGAGAATAATGATAAACTCTACTTGTTTTTTAGTTCTCAGTGATCTCACCGGGAATTACATTAATGGATCAATTCCTGCTATATTTGGCCAGCTTCGTGTTACCTCTCTGTAAGTTATCTCATTATTTACAATTCGTAAAGCTATTCGGTAAACTTACCTTTTGTTTCATTCAGCAGCTCATCACTTCATGGAAATAGTTCAAGTGACCCAATCCCGGCTGAAATTGGTAACATTGCCGCTTCGGAATCGCTGTAAGTGATAATAAATTTATAAACATGTAAATGAAAATGCAGCCATGGAAGATCAAATGTAGTATGCCTGATTGTGTTGTGCTGCTTTATGAACACTAGGGATTTGGAAGATAATCTGCTCGAGGGAAATCTACCGTCGGCCGTCAAATTCCGAGTCTGCTACACGTCCTCCGTCTGGCCTCCGTTGTGCGCGGCGCCAGAAATCGTCGAGGGTTTGTTCGCCCTGCCAGGAAGCGCGACTATGGTAGTCGTCGGCGTCCTCAGCGATGCGGTGCCCAACCCGACCCAGCCCGCCTCAACACGACGGAAATTTTTCACGGGGAAGAGAAACTCGTGGAAAACGGGCGCCTCCAGTCGCTGTCGGTAAGTGCCGCCGTCGTCGTCAGCCTCGCACCCATCGTCCAAGTGGCGGCGCGGCAAATCGAACCTAGTGAAGAAGGTTGAGTCCCATCGATCGGGCCCCTGTCTGCGAAATTCACGATGGTGGAAGCCTGAAGCAGTTCGAACGCCACCTAGGGTTGCGCGATTGGCCCAAAATAGGTTGTCAAAACCCTCCTCAAATTGCTGTTGACTGCAAAATCGGGCCGCTCCTAGGTTTTCCTCGCCTGTGCGCTCGCTGCCATCGGCCCTGTGTGGAGGTTTGTCGAAAACAGCATTCCACCGTAAGTCGTGGTCCCCCAATATTTCGTCGAAAACATCACCGGTCAACGGTGGCGGTGGTGATCGTCGGCGGGGCGCCCCACAATAACCTCGACCCCCACGACCTCCGCTTATCCCTCCAGATGGCCCCGGTCAGCCCCTTCGCGGTTCGTACGTACGTCGTTCATCATGGTATTCATTGTCTGGCGTAATTCGTCGATCCCGGTAGAGAAATCCGTGCATCGTTCATCCAGTCGTTGAAGTCGATCATCCATCCTCTGGAATCGATCCGCAATGGTGGTCACAATGTTTCTTCTCGTCGACGGCATCGTCCGATCGTGGCTGATGTCTGATACCAACTGATGTAGAGAATGCGTGAACGAACGGGAAGATACAAGGAGATACTCTCTCCAGAACACGGGATACTCTCCCAAAAGAAAACACGATCAATTATTTTCATTCATCAAATTCCGCTCCTCACCAAAACAGAAGAGCCCTTAAAATAAAGGATTCAAACTCAACCATAGCTTAATATCCAAGCAACTAATAATAATAATAATAATAATAATAATAATAATAATAATAATAATAATAATAATAATAAACATATATATATTGTTCATCACTTGTGCTGGCCCACTTGTTTCGTCGTGTATTAATTTTTCCTCACGGCCATATATAGTGAACAGGTTTTGCACAGTAGGATCTGCACACAATAATAAAACAATCTGGATTATGTTGACGCTAAAACCAACCAACCCTTTTTATCTTAACTTTCTTTAATAAGCTTTTGGCCATTTCTCATTTGACCCCTTCAAGAGGAAGAGGAGATGCCTAAAAATCTTTTCCTTCTCTGTTATTCGTTAGTGCTGCCACTGTTAAGCATCAATTCTTACACACACTTGCCCATAAACTGGACAAGGCTGAACAACACTCACTGGAATCTTAGTCGAAATTCCTGCAATGAACCTATCGGCGCAGAGTTGTAGAGAGCATTGTGGTTTGTGACTGTAACTTTAATAACGGCTCTGTTTGCCATGTAACAAACATGTATGTATGCTCTTATTCTCTTTCTTTCTTATTTATGTTTTTTTTTTTATTCTTGTACTGTGATTATAGATGCGGAAATTTATATCTTTCATTATTTACAATTCGTAAAGCTATTCGGTAAACTTACCTTTTGTTTCATTCAGCAGCTCATCACTTCATGGAAATAGTTCAAGTGACCCAATCCCGGCTGAAATTGGTAACATTGCCGCTTCGGAATCGCTGTAAGTGATAATAAATTTATAAACATGTAAATGAAAATGCAGCCATGGAAGATCAAATGTAGTATGCCTGATTGTGTTGTGCTGCTTTATGAACACTAGGGATTTGGAAGATAATCTGCTCGAGGGAAATCTACCGTCAAGCATCGGAAATTTGCGCAATTTAAATAGGCTGTAAGCCTGCTGATCCAATCTTGCCTTTTTTGTTTTGTTTTGTTTTTACTAATTAATATACTGCTTTTTTGGTATTTCACAGTAACAGGTGTTAGGATAGTAAACCAAAAAAGCTATCACTTAAACTAGACTAGCATTACTTTTTTTTTTTTTTTCTCCTAGTAAAATGATATCTGAATTTTCCCTGCAGCTTGCTCAATCATTTTAATGGAACGGTACCATCAATATTCGACAATTTAAGGAACTTGACAGATTTGTAAGTTATTCTTTCTGTAGATGATCCAAATCCATTTTGTAATGTGACATTGATTGATGCAATATCTTGATATACAACCATTGTGTTGTTTGCAGTCGTATTGATGTGAGTACGCTATCTGGGATAATACCTGAATTTATTGGATACTGGATCAGACTTACTAGATTGTGAGACTGATTTTAAACAGGCCATTCAAATCTTTCTTCACTTGAATTTTGTTGAATTATCTAGAAATACAGCATACTAATCAAACGTTTTATAATTAGACTCACAAAACTTGTTTGCAGAGACATGCAAGGCACCTCAATGGAGGGACCGATTCCCGCCAGAATACCACCCGAATTGAGATTCTTGCTACAATTGTAAGCCCAACCGGGTAAGGAAAACCTTTCAAAACAGTATTCGAGAAAAAATATATATATTATTTTGAATACTTAAAAGTAATACTTGTTTATTTTTGTAAGATTAACAAAAAAAAACAAATATTTAATATTAATTAATATTTTTTTATTAAGATAATTAGAAAAAAAATAGTGTTCTTCCTTGTAGATAAAAAATACAATATTAATGAATAATTCTTTTATTTAAGAAAAAATGAATTGAATAATTTGAAGAAAAAAAATGTGATTTTTCAATGTTCGTCATTAATTAAACTAGCTCAGGACGGCTTTTAATCCTGGCTATGCCCCTGTTTCAAACCCTGATGAGATAAATGATAATATTGGGTTTCTCAATAAAAAACTACTGTAGCAAATAGTAAAAGTACCTTTTATTTACATGTTTGTGAACAAGGTAGTGCACATCATTTGCAATCCAACACCAAAATGATGGTTTACCACTTCGAATATCACTGTTGAATCCAAATAAAAAGGTGTGTATCATACTTTGTAATCACAAATCCCATAGATGCATTTACCATAACTAGTACATTATAGGTGGTAATACTGGGGAGGGCTGCCTCTATGGGACTCAACTTATCTACTGTTATCAGCACAACAGCCAACACAAACACATTTAATATCTGACGCACATAAGAATTTGGCATGCACGTCCGATTACAATACATTGAAATACCATCACTAGAATAAATAGAGGTGAGGTCGAGATCATCATCACAATCTCTTTGTATGGTATGTTTTCCTCGAATTTCATACTGATCATCGTCACCCCTAATGCTATTGCTGCCTTATAGACTAAACAAGCTAGGACGCCAAATAGCTTCCTCATCCCAATAGGGAATTGTAATGGTATCCTGAAAATAAATAATTCATTGTAAGAAAACACATATCCGATATAATTCACTACGATGTATTTCTTGTAGTGAATTATATCCGATATGTGTTTTTTTACAATGAATTATTTATTTTCAAGATACCATTACAATTCCCTATTGGGATGAGGAAGCTATTTGGCGTCATAGCTTGTTTAGTTTATAAGGCAACAATAGCATTAGGGGTGACGATGATCCGTATGAAATTCGAGGAAAACATACCATACAAAGGGATTGTGACGATGATCTCGACCCCAACTCTATTTATTCCAGTCACGGTACTTTCAATGTATTATAATAGGACATGCATGCCAAATTTTTATGTGCGTCAGATAGTAAATGTGTCCGTGTTAGCTGTTGTGCTGATAACTGTAGATAAGTTGAGTTCGATGGAGGCAACCCTCGTCAATATTACCACTTATAGTGTACTAGTCTAGTAAATGCCTATATGAGATTTGTGATTACAAACATGATGTAAACCTTTTTTCTGGATTCACAGCAGTGATACTCCAAGTGGTAAAACATCATTTTGGTGTTGGATTGCAAGATGTGCACTGTCGTGCTTGTGACAACGTTTATTTACGATAAATTTTGGTGTTGGGTTGTAAATGATGTGCACTGCCTTGTTCCCAAACATGTAAATAAAATGTACTTTTATTATTTGCTACACTAGTTTTTTTATTGAGAAGCCCAATATTATCATTTATCTCATCAGCAGGGACGTAGCCAGGATTAAAAACCGTCCTGAGCTAGTTTAATTAATGACGAACATTGGAAAACAATTTTTTTTCTTCAAGTTATTTAATTCATTTTTCTTAAATAAAAGAATTATTCATTAATATTGTATTTTTTTATCTACAAGAAAGAACACCATTTTTTCCTAATTATCTTAATAAAAAAATATTATTTAATATTAAATATTTGTTTTTTTGTTAATCTTACAAAAATAAACAAGTATTACTTTAAGTATCCAAAATAATATATATATATTTTCATTACCCTGATTTTTTACATGAATTTCATTATCTGATAATAAAATATTTATTCAGCTCAACAGCACAGCTTGCTGATTTTTTACTATGCATGTTGCAGTTTTTTAGTAAATTATTTCTTTGAGCTTGAGCTATTTGGTCTTTGTCCATTGCTCAATAACTTTCTTTTGATAAAACTATGTTGATTATGCTTCTTTTTACAAATGATTCATCCGAGTATGCTGAAACTTCATAATTGTCCGCTACATTGAAAACATGAACTGTGTTAGTAATACTTTATAAAAAAATAAGTGTAAGTTCATATATTGCCCACTAAAGAGAGCCTCTAATCAGTAGTGTAAGTATCATAAAAGTAGTTGGATAATATATATGAAACCTTTTTTGGCTGGATTTGCACGAAATTTGCACATTAGAGATGCACGGGATTTGCACATTAGTAAAAAAGGTTTTTGGCGGGAAATAGTTTCTATTTTAAAAATAATCAAACATATATATATATATATATATATATATATATATATATCTCTCTTTTATCTTATAAGGAGAAGTGTGACCTTTTCTGCTATTGACACGTGTCCAGTTTTAGCGCCCTTAGGAGGTGACATGTGTCCACTTTACTACAATTTATTACTTTTCTGCCATTGACTTTGCTTTTGTTTTTCAGACACCTCATAATGAAAATAACTGTAGCAACTACAGGACGATTGATATCTCCTCTCACCATAGCAAGATAACTTTCTCCTCAAATTCTGGCCGACGTGCGACACCATCTCTTCACCGCTTTCTGCTGTGATGTGATTGCGGCGGTGGCTTAATTCTGAAGCAACAAAATTGGTCAACCACTACAATCCCTTCATTCTCCCGTCAGATCCTAACCTCTCCATGTTCTCCATCTAACCTTCCTCTTCTCAAACCCTACCACCAAATTTTCTCTTGCGAATTTAGGAATCCGTCGCCATATCGGTGGAAAACGAGGTGTCGGAGTTCCGTCTGAGAACGGGAGCCCACCCAAATGAGAGATAGTCTACTCTTCTGCTAACAAGAGCCACTCGCACGACGCCAACTGCAGGCCCGCAAGAAGGTAGAAGTTTTCTGGGTTTTTGTCTTACCGTCTTTCCTTTATATTTAGTCTTGGTTATACGAGAAAGCATCAATTTTTGTCTTCTCTAACAAGTATCATTATTATGTACAGGTGTATTCCCTTCAAATACAGGGAAGCGGAAGATGGCAATGTCTCACCTGAGAAGATAGTTGAAGTATTAATGATCAATTCATATAGCGGACATGGTCTTCTATTTCCTAAGGTTAAACGTGTGGTTTTGGACTCTTTTTTTTTTTTTTTTTTCATTTTTGGATAAATGGGAATAGATGGGCGATGCATTTCTGATTTTCTTGTTCTGCTGATAAAAATTGATGAGAAACATGATTGAACTAATTCATGGCGATGTTGTACTCTTTCTTCTTCATACATATGCATATTTTCCTTGTTTTGATCATTTAAATCAACCTATCCTCTGTAGAGAACAATTAGTTTTTGATTCCTTTATATTCTCACATAATATGTTCTATACCCTATGAAGGAACACATTTCATTATAAATTAGTAAGATACTAAGATGGGGAATAACATGTTTTTATTCTCTGAAAAACTACTTTTATTCACTGGCTCTGTAGCCTTCATGTGATATGGGGGAAACAGAAAAGATATTCCAGTAAATGGATTTTCTTCTTGGAAAACTTCGGACAAAAAGGTCAAACAGTTAGATGGAATATCTGGAATATCTGTTAATTGGAAGTTTCTAAATATATCTGCATCCAGTCTTATGCTAGACATGAATTGTGTTGTGCCTAACATAAATCATAGTGACATATTCAGCATTAATATCCTATTTTTTCATGTGCGGTTCATGATAAAACCATAAACAAATTGATATCAAGAACATTATTTAGCTCACGCTCTTTATTTCTTCATATATGGTGGATGGGAAAATGACGAGACAGCTGAGGAGGCAGCAGAGAGAGAAGCCATGGAAGAGGCTGGGGTTCGAGGGGATTTAGTGGCAGGAAGCTGAACTCATTTCTTTCTCTTTTTTCCTTGATTATAATAAATTGGCATACAAATTTTTACTGTTGGGTTTTGTGTTCTGGTCTTCTGAATGTGAGTGATAGTCAGATAATGGGGTATCAAGTTGATCGGAACAAATTATTGATTGTTTATGATGGTCTTAAAGTACTTGGTGTTTCTTTCTTAAAATCGGAGGATCTGAAATATAAATATCTATGCATCAAGTTTTATGTCACTTTAGTGTATAGGGTGCACGACTTTAAATAATTGACAATATGAAATTGCTAGCTCGCACATAAATTGATCTTTTTTTTTTTTTTTTGTTTCAGATAATTTACTTAGGCTTGTTAAGAAGTACTCTGAATGTTCTTGGTCCCAAACTATAGGCTGTAGCATGTTATGGATACTAATGAGTATTTTTCGTATTTGATAAGATAAGCTTCCAGCATCTTTTCCGTGGATGGTTGATCACAACAATTCTCAATGTCAAGGGTAATATTTGCAACTACCCCATAGTTACACATTTGCCTTTCGGTTCATCCTTTCGATCCTTACAATTATATTTTTCCCCTGTGTTTTCAGCATTTTCTTGGTTGCTATTCTTTCAAGAGCAAAACACTCCAAGACGAGTATAGCCCAGAAGGTCACAGTTATAAACGAACCCACTAATATTTTGACAAAAAAATATCATAATCCGGTTAAAAAAAGCCCCACTGATAATTTGCTATTATCATAATACGGTTAAAAAACACTAATTCCAGAAGTTAATTCAGTTTAAGTAAATTTGTTTGTATCACATTGATATTTTTTTAGACATCAAGTTCTTTGTTTGTGCCTAAAGGTTAAAGAACAAACAAAAAAGACCAAAAAACCAGTGGCAAATGGAGCTTCTGAAGTGAGTGGTGTGAAGTTGTCATATGTTCATGTCAGAGACCGCCGTCGTGGGCATCCTTTAATTATTTCCTTGATCTTAAAAATTTACATTGAATTTTGCAGGCCAGGAGAGAGAAGATCAATGCCAGGATGAAATTATTGCCTGATCTCGGGATGGAACAAGGTATTTTGAGGTGTTGAATGCTAGAGAGGATTAATGTTGTTAGTCTGAGTTGCTTTGTGGGAGTTAGTAATGAATGGATTGTTGGATTAGTATGTTGGGTTTTTGCGTTTATTCGTCGTGAGAACTTAATTTTCGGCTGCTTTTTTTAGGAGTGTGTTGATTTTGTTCATGTTCCTTTTTATTTTAATTTTTTTTTCCTTTCAGGATGTTAATTTGCAGTCAGAGAGTCTCCAGATGGAGATTTCCAGGTCCGCCGGTCGCCTTTTCAGGTGAGCAATTGAAGAAAATGGAATTTTTCAGAGTAATTTCGCGTTCGATTTGTCAGGTTTTTAATTTAATTTCACCGTTAAAGCAGTTCGAATTTATGTATTCATATGATCTCGCGTTTCAGAATTGGGCAATCTGTTTGTAATTTTTCCTGATTTTCAACCAAAAAAATAAAAATAAACAAATACTGTTTGTCCATGAGCTTCATTGTTTCCTCTTTGTCTTCTTCTTTTCCAGTAGAGCGGCGAGTCCGACGAGCGAGTTTTACGGTGACTCGGAGCAAGTGTCACTCCAGTTAGTCTCCACGGCCAAAAGCAAGAATCCTTCGCCTCCATCAATCTCTCACCGGAACATCGAAACGTCTGGAGACGAACGAGTAGGGCGTGCCCCTTACGGCTCTTCGTGAGGTCTTTCTTCTCCAAATGCTCTCTCAGTCCCTCTACATCGTCGTTTATTTTGGATCCTGAGGCTTCTGTAGATTTGGTATCTTTATACCAAATTTCTTGTGCCACTTCATTTTCATGTTTTTGTCAGGTAGATTTCATCTCTTTTTGTTCAGATCGTGTTGAAATTTTACAATATTTATCAACTAGGGTTGTTATTTTTGGTTGGTTGATTTTTAGTGGCACAAATGATATAGGATCTGTTGTAATGGGTTGATAACATCACTTAGGATGAGAAGCAAGAAAGTTTATTGTTTTCAGTTTCCAACATTTATTTGGGTTGCTACTGAGGTTTGTATGTTTAGATTTTTCTAATTTGTTAAGAGAGAGAGAGTTTGGTTCATCTGATCGAAGCTCCAATTATTGATCATTTTCAGTATGAAGAAGGTAAAGGAGAAATATGAGCAGAGGAGGTCCACGAGACAGCTGAAGGCTATGCTCCGCAAGAACTGGCTTCTCAAAATTCGGCACCCTTTCGTCACTTGTGCAGAGGTTTTTTTTCAGCTTTCATTCAATTTGCAGCTATTTTTTTCCCTTTGCATGTTTAATGATTATGGGTTACCTCATATCATTGATTTTGGTTTTGGGTTTTTGTTCTTAGTTTCTTGCATGGGTTTTGATTTGGGTTTCTGGGTTTCTTCCAGCTGTCTGGCGTGCTTCTTTGTTTTGGGGTTTTAGTGCTGATGTAGCTGATTGTTGCATTTGCTGGTTTTGTTTAAAGTTTGAATTTTCTAACAAATTGGAGTATAAGGGTGGTTGAAAAATCATTATTCACGTTGTTTTAGTGCTGGCCTAGGTAAATAATGAGTAGTTGATTCATCTATTTTCCTTCCATCTGACAGATTTTGCTCCCAACTGTTGTTATGTTGTTGCTTATAGCCGTAAGGTTTAGAGTTGATACACGAGTACATCCTCTGGAAGCGTAAGTATATAACTTCAATTTATTTGGGGAGCATTGAAACTTTTACTGTAATCGTGAGTTTTTGTTGCTGAACCAATTGGATGCTTAATAATGTACAAATCATTCATTGTATCCCGAAGATCCGGATATATACTTTGCTTCGAAGTTCAATTCTTATATACCGACCTTAGAAACTGAGAATATGGCGTCTGGTGCAGATATATTAGAAAAGACATGCTTGTGGAAGTGGGAAAAAGTCTGCACCTTTTGAACAAATTTTGGAATTGTTATGTGCCAAGGGCGAGTATCTGGCGTTTGCACCTGACACGATTGAGACGAGGATGATGATTAACTTACTGTCTGTAAAATTTCCTTTGCTTAAGGTGTGCACATACATTTTCTGTTTTATTTGATCCCCCGGTGCCCCTCTTGCCTTTTTCGCAATTTGTGTCTTATCTTGTTTTTTTAAGTTTCTTCTATATGCTCGAATGTGGTTATGTACTGAGATCATTCTCAATGATGCCACTTCTCCTATCTTCCATACGTGGTTGGATTTTTTTTTTTTCCCCCATTTATTAACCTGAATGAATTGTCTGATGAAATTTGAAATATATTGAGGATGGATTAGATAGCTCAAAGATACAATGGTTGAAGGTATGCTAATCTGATTAGAGCTTGGACTTCGTTATGTTATTGTTTCATGTTCTTTATATATGTGGAGTTTGTCTTATCTGGATGCAAATTCTCTAAGGAGTATTAGAAGTAACATGGCTACTTAATTAGTTAATTTTCAGTTTTCTGATTGAAGTTTTGAAGTTAATCATGTTACTGATATTTATGATTGTTTTCAAAATGTCTATTTTACTTCAACTTAATCCAGATGGCTGCCAAAGTTTTTCATGATGAAGAAGAGCAATAGGCATACATACACTCAGATGGTTATGGTGCTTACGATAAAGTGAAGTGAGTTATGGTTTCTTTTATTTGCCTCATTTTGATTTTCATTCTTTGTGCTGGCTGTGGTTTTACCCGGTTTCTTCAGAACACAAATAAATAAAAGCTCTTCATCCCGGCCACTTATCTGCAAATATGAGTCTAATTTTTTGAGTCCGTTGATCTAAGATACACTGCACATGTGCTTGTTTGAATACTTTTTATTTAATGGCCGAAGTTATTCATGGTTTTCCCAGATCACAACATCCTGCACTTGTCAGATAAATGTCGGTATATGCTTAAAGAAAGAAAAAATTAAAACCGCTTCATTCTTTTAGACCGAATTTAAGTCCGCCGTGCGTGCACGGCGTGAGACTACTAGTATATATATATATATATATATATATTGCTGCCATTCTGTCATCCTCAGTTGGGCCTTTGCTATTAATTTACTTTATTTTCTCCACAAGTTTGATCATTTTGTTGCACACTGTTGTGTCTTATTTTCAAGATGATGTTTGGATTTTCTGAGGGGGTCTCATTCTTTTTATATAATAATAATAATAATAATAATAATAATAATAATAATAATAATAATAATAATAATAATAATTACCCATTTTTAACTCGTATACCTATGGCCTACCTACTCACTCTGCATGCACATAAACTTTAATAAGAAAAAACGAAATACATCAATATCAATCTTTATATAAATTATTATACATATCAATTTCAATAATTTTCTTTCACTCTCTATATTATACAGAAATTCTATGGCACCACATGTGTCATCATATTATGGTGCCACAACATGATGTGGCACATTATGATTGGATATGTATATCAATATGCATATACTGTATTCTTTTTAATTGTGGATATTTATTAGTTTTCTTTAAATATATGATTACACAAATCAAATGATACACTTTATTTCTAAAGTTTGTGTTTTAGAGAATATGTTTCTCGAGATATTAGAGACTGATATATGCGATTAGTATTACCATAAAAAATCAGCTGCAATTACCTAAATTGTATCTTCAAAAATCAACAGAAAATTACATTCTTAATGTAATTAATAGATTTAAAAAAAAAGGAATTTTTTATGTGATTAATATTACCTTAATAAATTCGCAGCTTTGTACCTTCAAAACATACCATAAAATATTTCAATAATTTCTAAATATAGTAAAAAACATTTTTTTTTTGCAGAAAATAGTTACTATTTAAAAAATAATCAATTTTTTTTGTATATACTAGAACGGAGCCCGTGCGATGCACCACAATAACTAAAATAACATGTACTAAAACGGGCCTGTATTTGTAAGTTCTCTCAATATACATATAATGAGCCCGGTCCACTATAAGCTAATATGACATTAATTTATG